CAAAAAAAAAAAAAAAAAAGAAAAGTCATAAAAAGGGGAGGAGGAGAGACAGACTCAGCTGGCCCCCCACAGTCTCTCTTAGTTAGCACAGTTTGAGGAAATGAATCTCTTCTACCAAAGAGTAAGGTTTTTACTTTTCAAAATCTTTGAATTATAATTTTGGCTAAAGAATAACTATTTTACAATAACCAGTAATCCTGTGTTATAATATACTTTTAAAGCCTTTAATGTTTAACAAACTTTCAAACATAAAAGTTTTGGGCTCTCAATTCAGTCTTTCTAACTGATTATTTTTTATTTATTTTTTTTTGAGTTGGAGTCTCACTCTGTTGCCCAGGGTGGAGTGCAGTGGCACGCTCACAGTCACCGCAGCCTTGACCTGCTGGGCTTGAGTGATCCTTCCACCTCAGCCTTCCAAGTAGCTGGAACTACAGGCGTGCACCACCATGCCTGGCTAATTTTTTTATTTACTGCAGAGATGAGGTCTCACCAAATTGCCCGGGTTGGTCTCGAATCCCTGGACTCAGGTAATTCTCTTGCCTCCGCCTCCCAAAGTTCTGGGATTACAGGCATGAGCCACCAAGCCCGGCCTAGTCTTTCTAATCCTTAAAAAAAAAAATTTAAGTATTAGTTTTCCCTGAAATTCTAGGAGACGCTTAACTCATTTGGTGTGTTAAAATCACAGAGAAGCATCATCGAACACAAAAGAGTGTTTAACTTTCCTAAGGTTATATTTATGTGTGTCATTGGCATATGTTCCAAAATTGTGTGCTGTTCCTATAATACTGTTATGTCCAACTATATGTTATCAACAATAATGATTATGTTGTTATCTGCTACAGAATAATCAAAATTTCTTGTCAACTGTATCTATAGCAATGGTTGTCCCAAAACTTTTGTCATCTCCCAATTATTGTTTTACTTTAATCCCTTTCAAAGAGCAGTTTATAATCAGCTACAGGACTGATAAGTGCTCTTCAATGCCAATTTCTAACAACTTTGGAAACTGTTCCATTAAACTAGAGGAAAAAAAAAAACCTTTTCTTGGAGCTATTTACGGTTTTTTAACAAATGAGTAAAGTATGCTCTTATAAGCAAAATTTGAAGCATATATCTTTCTTTCTACCTCCAGAATTTGGAAACTATTGATATTGATTTATAACAGTATGGTTATTTGTATAAGTTCAATAAGAATCTATTTCCTTTTGTAGCGGAATGTGATTGGACATACTTGTTATTTTACCAAGGTTTTGGCTGAATAACATTTCAGAGCAGACTGCTTTGAGAAGTTAAGATTAAGATCTATAAAGAGCCGATATTATTAAAGCCTTTGGAAAGGCTCGCCTGGTGCCTTCTAGCTCTGCAGGGTTTCTGGCCTATGGTAGGTGAAGAAGTTTGCTTACTAGTAGGTCCAGAAACCCCAACTTACTTGGACCCTCAAAGAGAAGAATTCACTCAGTTCATACAGGTGTTTACAGGCAGATCCTTGGCTGAGCTCAGAGGCTTTTGCAGACTATAATCTGAGGTTCCTTATGGGAAGAGTTCTAGCAAGGCTGATTCAGAAAGAGCCTATATGACAAATAATTATTCTTGCTGCACTTCATGCAAATAAGATATGTATCAAGTCTAAACTTATTTTACAAATAAATTGGTCGTACTATAATTTGTCTTTAACAGAAACGGAGGACTGGAGAGAGAAAATTATGTTTTTTAATGCTCTTATTCATTGTTTTAAGTTTTTTATTTTCTACAATTTAAACTGCATTCCAAAGTCTTTCCTGGCTACAGGTCACCAGACTGGCATTTTCAAATTTTTCCTTCAAATTTTATATAAACGTCACAAAAAGTTCACTTAAATGCCTGGCTCAAATTATAGTCCAGAAGAATCTATCAGACTGCCACTGCAATCTGAAGATACATCAAAAACTTTAAAAGCTAATTTATAAACTATTCCAAACATAGAATGTCTCCATAGAAATGTATTTTATTAAAGGTCTGTTTATCAACATCATTTACAGAAAACAACCCACCAAATACTTGCCAATCCATCTATGGAATTAATTGCTAGTAATAAATAAATTACATCCTCACTCTGGGAATATATATTAGTGGTCCTTGTTTGCAAATCAGTTGTCTTTCTTTGTTAAAGTCATTATCTTAATATTTACTATATTTTTTTTTCTATCACTAGTATTCATTTTCCTCTGCTTTCCAACATTTATGGTATCTTCTATGCATGTAGGACAAGAAAATGGTCCTGGCTTTCCTGGCTCCCTCCTTTTCTGGGACCCCTCAATTCAAGACTCTGCTCCTAATTACAAAACCCCACTCTTTCATCTTTTTATCGAGTTTGTCTCTTCCAGACTCCGACAGTTCCATCCCCAGATGATGCCTCGACACAGTTTCCAGCCCATGCCGTCAGAAACTCCACTTCCACAAGCCCTTTAGACTAAGCCACAACAAATTCTTACTTAAACAGTCCCTAATTGCCCATAGGGCTCTCTTATTCCCACCTGCCAGCACACAAGAACCCATAACAGACCAACAATGCTAGGCAGGGTCAGCACAACGCCCCTGTTCAGCACAAGCAGCGACAGAAGATGAGGCCTTTGCCCCAGTGCCAAAGATTTGGTATTGTTGGGGGGGAGACGTGGAAGCCATTTTAAACAAGAGCCACCTTGTGCTAACCTTCAACCGACCAATCAGAACTGCCTCATTTGCATGGCAGGAACCCTAATGCATGACGGGAACCCTAATCTTTACCCCAAATGAAAAGGTCAAACTCCACTGGGAACACACCTCAAGCCACTGGCTCAGGGCGGACAGCTCCCTTATCACCGTCCTGCCCACTTTTCCCTTGCAGGGAAACTGAATGCAATCTGTTTCTCAAAACACAGAAGGGTCTGTATTTTTCCTCCCTCTCTAAGGTGAAGTTTCTCCCTCAAAATACATTCTTTACATTCTGCCAGGGTGAGGAATATCAGAAGCACCGGAATAGAATCGCCAGTATAGGGAAGGGGAGGAACATTTATTGAACAACAGGTATGTCTCGAATGCTCCAAGACCACGTTTAATCCCCCAGCAATCCTAGGAGATGTGCCAAAGTGTAAAAAGTTAAAACAAAGTGTAAAACTGCCAAAGTGTATCCAACACTTCTCACGTGCGGGGCAGTGTGCCAAATGCTTTAGCAACACGGTGTTCTTTCATCCTCACAGCATTAGGAGGCAGACACTATTATTATCCCTTTTTGGTCCAGGAGGAAACTGAGGCTCAGAGAGGCAGCTTACTTGAGGTAACACAAGCTAGCGGGTATCTGAAAAATATGTGGACCCAGGCAGGTTGACCTAAGTCCAAAGACAACATCCTTCCTTCTCAATGCTGGCGGGCATTCCTAGCAACTGATTTCCATAAAAAGCGAGCTACCTGTTGTGCAGGAAGGACAGAGGCTGAGGTAGGAACTTCGTAAGCAATCTGGAGAGAGGCCCCTCCCATGTCCAGGATCCCCACTGTCCTTCTGCGTCCTGCCACCAGTTCCTGGGGAGCCTCAGCATCTGACTCTGAAATAAATAAGGGAACAGAAAGGCGCTGGTAATTAAAAGCCCAAAGTAAGTCAAAAGCAGAAAACGGAAAGCAAAAAGATAGAAAGCAAATTTATGTATCACTCTACCAACTGTATGTTACACAGAGAAGAATTACTTAAAATAATTTGAACATGATATTTTGACTATATATCCCTAGTGGGATACATCCTAAGCCAAAAGGAACAAGTATCCTAAACAGCATTCTAGTAGTCTGATTTGTTAATAATATTATTGGTGTTACTATTTTAAGACCATTAAATATATTGTGGAATAAAGCAATTACATGTTTACATTAATATCTTGAGGAACAAAGATTCTGCATAAGAGAAAAAGAATAAAGATATAAAATCAAGAAATTAAAAAACCTTATAATTTTAAATACAAATTGGAAATATTACTATGAACTCATTATTTGTTTTTCTAAAAAATACTTATTTCCTGGCTTTGTTCCCTAAATGGACTAGAAGCAATGACAGCCCAGGAGCAATGAGCACCCCCGGTATCTAGACCACAATCTCTAAATATCATTTTCTACTAAAAGAAATCAGGCTCCTTTAAAAAATGGCCAATGCCAAGTATAGGGCAGAAAGCATCCAAGATGAGCTTGAAACACCTTGGCATGTGAGACAGTCAGGGACATGCAAGGATGCTGGGGTCACATGACAAAGACACAGGAGCCAACCTAAAGGTGCTGCTAAAAAGAGCAATGATGTGACGGGCTTTAAAACAACAGAAATATTCAAATCCACTAATTCATAACAACAGGGAAAAAAAACCTTCACTAGTTACACTTGAAAGTTGCTAGGATACCAGTTCATTATTCAAAAATTTGATAAAGAAAAAGAATCAAGGATTTCTTCTGTTTTCCCCATGAGAACTGTATGTCAGGATAACCACAGATGAAGATAAGTTCATTACATTAAAAGTCCAGCTGTTAAATGCTGAATGAATGACAGAGGTAGGAAGATGACCATTTTGCAACCCCTAATGAAAAAACATATCTAAGCAACAATCACAGCGGCTCCACCCACTGGGGGAAAGGTGGACGAGAATTTTATAATAAATTAGATCAGGCTGGCAACACCTGAACCCTGCATACCTTATGGGTCTGCACATGACTAAAAGTGGGGCTGGCAGACACCATAAAGCTCCCGGTGGGGTGTCACTACGGCTTAGTCCTGCGGAAGGAGCTGAATCAGAGTCTAATCAAGCATCTGTACCTGACTTCTGGGGGGAAGAACACGGGAGGGGACAGGAAACACATGAAAGAAAATATGCCAGCCCACAAAGATGCAGTCAACCTAATCCAGAATGTGGAAAATTTATCCTACCGAGTGGCTTGATCTTCCTAGTTTTTAAAGGCAGGGAGTGGGTGATAGGGTGAGCTATCGCAGGCTAAAAGAGACATGGCAATCAGATGCAGTGTGTGACCCTCGTTCCGATTCTGATTTGAACAAGCCAACTACAAACAAACATCCCTGGGAAAATCAAGAGACAATCTACCTGGTTGGGGTGTGAGACAGGTATTTTGCATAATATTTGAAATTGTTTGCTTTGTTACGTTTAAAGATGGCATTGTGGATACACTTTCATTTGTTTCAGTACTCCTTATCTATCAGAGATACACAATGACATACATGAAAATAAAAAGTATACATCTAGGGTTTGCTTTAAAACATCTAATGGAAAAAAACCTGTGATAAGCAGAGGGCACATGGGGACAGAAAACGACAAAACATTAGTGCATCTTGAGTCTGGCTAATGGGTCCGTGAAGGATCATTTTATTATTTACTTCTGTGAAGGCCTTGAACCTTTCCATATTACAAAGCTGAAAAGAAATAAAGCAAATTAGGACTGAAAAATGGAGCATCGTAAGTTTTAAGAAAGAAAACCACTCAAAATGAGCCCTTTCACGCTATGTTACGTTCTGACTTAAACCTTCAGCCCCCAGGTGAACTGTCATCAGAAGATGATATTACTTACCATCTTCATGGTCAAATCTTCCCAAAACAAAGTTGATTCCAATCCACGCATAGACCCCTAAGTAAGAAATAGAAAAACCCTCTTAATCCTCTCTCCTGTGCCACGGGTCCACCTCTCCCTGGGGCTTCTCTTTTCTTCTTTGTCTTAGAAAAAAATCATCGTAGGATTGTATTCCATATTCTCAATGCATGGATTCCAAATCTTTTATCTTGTAGCTTTTTCCCTTTTAAAATTACCTGTATCTTCTAAATTTCCTACAATAAATAGAAATTAATTGTAGGTGGGTTTTCTTCCGCCCATGCCAGTTCTGGCATGCCTCTTTCTCTCTCCTTCTCTTTCTCTAATAAATTATGTTTTTTAAAAAAGAAATTAATTGTAAAAAAATGCTGAAAAAATGAAAATATTAAAGTTCTGGTTCTGGGCAAGATGCAGTCAGCACATGCCACCCCATCTCTCTGCAGAAGGCAGATACCAACTAGACAGGACGCACGGGACAGTTTTCTGGGAACTCTGAAATGATAGTAAGCACGTTTGGAAAGAAAGGAGAATCTAAAGTGCCACCCAACTGGTAGTAAGTGTCCCACTTTTTCCCCCCTCAGATATTACCAGACCTGAAAGTACATACTAGGTGAAACTGAAAGACTTTTTTGGGCCAAGGAGTGGAAAGGGGATGCCAGAGGTTCAGAGAGAGAGCAGGGACAAACTCCTACTTTTTTTCTTTTCTTTTTTCTTTCTTTTTTTTTTGAGTCAGAATCTCACTATTCCCCCAGGCTGGAGTATAGCAGCACGATCATGGTTCACTGCAGCCTCGACCTCTTGGGCCCAGGTGATCCTTTCGCCTCAGCTTCCCCAGTAGCTGGGATTACAAGGCATACATCACCACATCCGGATAATGTCTGTTTTTTATTTGTTTGTTTGTGAGTCAGAGTCTCACTCTGTCACCCAGGCTGGAATGCCGTGGTATACTCAGGGCCTCCACAGCCTTGACCTGCTGAGTTCAGGAAATCCTTCTGCCTCAGCCTTCCAAGTAGCTGGAACCACAGACACACGCCACCATGCTTAGCTAATTTTTAAAAAATTTATTGTAGAGACAAGGTCTCGCCAAGTTGCCCAGGCTGGTCGCAAACTCCTGGGCTCAGGCAATCCTCTTGCCTCAGCCTCCCAAAGTGCTGGGATGACAGGCGTGAGCCACTGTGTCCAATCTGCTTTTTTTTTCTTTATTTTGCTCTCTCCAACCCCAGGGAATCCTACAGCAGCACAGGTAGAGACTGGACAGGCGCCGAAAACTCTGAGGTGTGTGAATTCTTCTCTCTGACCTGAGAAGCCACAGTCTCCAGAGTGTGGGCAAATCTCTCCTGCTTATTTTTCTTCTCTGTCCTCCCACCACTGGCCCTGGGTGCAATCACGGAAGTTAAAGGCTTGGTTTTCTGACAGTAGGACCAGGAAAGTAAGCTTCAAGGAACCAGAAAGCGTCAGGAGATCAAGGAGAATGGGGAGGAAACTGTGTATGCACCCCTGGGCCCCTTCCCTAAACAACACATGAGAGGCTTTGAGAACTCCACCATGGCTCGGTCACTGCTCAGGTTCAAGAGTAGTCACTGGCTGACATACACACAGGACAAACCCAGATGGCAGTGGTCAAGGCTTTGAAAGACTAACAAAGTCACAGCCCACAGAAGGCACATTTAGTTTGGAAACATGGCCCTGGATTGCCTAGAAAGTCTCAACACTTCATAGCAACTGTAAAAACAAAACAAAAGTAACTTGTTCCCATCATTCCCTAAAACTAAAGTTTCCCCTTAATCTAATAATTTGCTTTACATTTGATTTGGAAAATTCAGTACAACTCCTAGAACCATATACGTCCACAAAAGCAGAGTTCGCTAGCCAAATATCCAATTTGAATTATCATTAAATACTAATATATTCTTTTTTTTTTTTTTTTTTGAGTTGGAGTCTTACTCTGTCGCCCAGGCTGGAGTGCAGTGGCATGCTCGTGGCCACTCCAGCGTCCACTTGCTACCAACCCGGCTAATTATTTATTTATTTATTTATTTATTTATTGTAGAGATGAGGTCTCGCCAAATTGTCTGGGCTAGTCTCAAACCCGCAGGCTCAGGCAGTCCACCCACCCTGGCCTCCCAAAGTGCTGGGATTACAGGCTGAGCCACCGAGCCTGGCCTAATATATTCTTATAAACATAGTGCTTAGCACTGAGTTAAAAACAGATATCAAGACTTCCAGAAGCAGCATTCTCAGAAACCAGTGCAGAATGCACAAATAAATAAACGGTATAGCAGAATCAAAAACATGATTGGCAGAAAAATAAGAATCAGATACGTGAAGTAATAATCCCAACACCGTTAGAGGCCGTGCCTCAGGGCCCAGTACCTTCCTGCTTCCCGGAGATCACTTCTGCCTGAGATTGCGAAAAGAGGAAGTCAAACTCCAGCGGTAAATCTTTCACCAGGTCAGCCAAGATAGCCAACTGCTTCCTGCAAGAAAGAGCACGGGATCCCAAAGTTAATCGCTAAACTCTCTTCTCACAAACCGCTTCGACGCGTCCTTCTGCTCAGCACTGTTGAAACCTCACTGCTCACTGGCCTCATCTGCTGGTCCGGGCCTGCACCTTTCTGGTGCCTCCTCTGATTCCAAAGGTGTAAACTGCCTTCAAGCACGGCCTCCCACATAAAAGGCGAGATGGTAACAGTCCCTTTCCCTGGGTCATGCTGTAGTTCAAGCGATGCTAAGCCATGGGACCCTGGTTCTGTGCCTCTCGCAAGGCTGAGGACAGCCAGACACAGGAAATCGCGGCACAGTCTCATGGTCTACCAACAGCAGCAATTCATCATGCCTCGCTACTGTGTGAAAGAAAGACGTTCAGTGAAGTCACACAGACTCGTCCTTAGCTCTTGTGAGAAACAGTGCCTCAGTTTACCACACATAAGACTGTCAGCTCCATGAGTTTTTATATAATCCTTAAATAAGATAACAGTTAACTTTTTAATCTTTTTCATATTTTAAGAGTTGCTTTTTTTCTTTATAACAATCTCACCATTTGAAAACCCTATGTCAGGATCAAAATCCGAAGGTGATAACAACATTTCCAATTTGGGAAGAAGATTTGAAATTTAGTGTCCACAGGAATTTGTTTCCTCTAACATTTTAAGTATGCTATCAGTAGTGCCAAAGAAAAGCAAATAAATAATCATATCAACTAGAAAAAAAGTTAGTTAAAAATAAGATGAATTATCTTTCATTTTTAAAACTATTCATTATAAAAATATTCTACTGGCTCAGATAGTTGTTGGCATGACTTAGTGAAGGATGTTTGGCACTTCAAAGTGAAGAATTGCATCTGAAGTAATAATAATCTTCCGATATAGTAAGGTATAGCTTCCTTAAAGAGTTCGTTGTTACATGCATTAAACTCCTGCAGTAAGAATTTCTCATGGGGAATACGAGGGCACTTTTCTCCTCCCTCCATGGGACATGCTTCTGAACTCCCCAGAGAGGCCCTGCTGGCCTTGGTGACACAGGTAAGCGTCGACCGACATACATACACACTGCTGTGTGGAAGGGGAATTTCAAGCACCACCTTTCCAATGGACAGTCCAGGGACACGTTTCCAAAGTATAAATGTGCCTGAGCCTTGGAACCAGCTGTTACGCTTGTATAAATTCAATCCGAGGAAATCACCAGACAAGAATACGAGGAAGAACAACACTGCAGAATCGAACAGTAAAAAACTAGAAATAGCATCATGACGGAGGAAGTGGTTATATAACTTACGGTACACCATACAGTGCGATACTATACAGATTTGTTTGTTTGTTTGTTTGAGTTGGAGTCACACTGTGCTGCCCAGACTGGAATGCAGTGGCACGCTCACGGCCACCCCAACCTTGACCTGCTGGGCTCAGGCGATCCTTCCGCCTCTGTCTTCCAAGTAACTAGAACTACAGGCATGTGCCACTACGCCCGGCTAATTTTTTTATTGCAGATATGAGGTCTCGCCAAGTTGCCCGGGCTGGTCTCGAACCCGTGGGCTCAGGCAATCCTCTTATCTAGGCCTCCCAAAGTGCTGAAATTATCGGCATGAGTCACCATGCCTGGTCTTGCCTCACTCAGTCTTCCAAGTAGCTGGAACTACAGGCGTGTGCTATGGTATCCAGCTAACTTTTTTATTTTTATTTTTTATTATAGAGACAAGGTCTCGCCAAGTTACCTTACCCAGGCTGGTCTCAAACCTCTGGGCTCAGGCAATCCTCTCGCCTTGACCTCCCAAAGTGCTGGGATTACAGGCTTGAGCACCACGCCTGGCCTATACAGATGTTTAAAAAGTGAAGTCAATTCTATTTACCTGTATTGACACATAAAGCTGTCCAATATATTTTGTTGCACTGTAACAGGTTACAAAACAGTATGAATTTGATCTATTTCTGTTCAAAACAAAAAACAAGTCCCAAATCATTGTTCATGTAATACACAGGGTCAGAACTTTCATTTTCTCAAATTCAATATTGTTTATTTAAAAACTTTTAGGTTGGGCGTGGTGGCTCACACCTGTAATCCCAGCACTTAGGGAGGCTGATGTGGGAGGATCACTTGAGCCCAGGAATCTGAGGCTATGGTGAGCCATGATGGTGCCACTGCATTCCAGTTTGAGTGAAAGAGTGAGACAGTGATTAAAAAAAAAAATTAAGAAAAAAAAAAACTTTTAATGGGAAAATGTTGATACCTGGAGAAGCAGCATGGCAAGTAAAGGGGGATCCAGTGCACTGGCCTCCACTGGGCATTCCCTTTGCCATTTTTAAAGGGTATTTCGTTACAAAATAAAAGGGAGGTAGAAAAAATTCCACTAGTCTAGGCCATTGGCAAAGAAATTAAATACGAATACATTCAAAGACACAGCCCAGGCAATCCAACCCTATTTTGAATATGACTCACAGATGCTATTAAATGAGCAAAACATGAACCATACAAAACAGGCTCTTGAGGTGACCATCACGCTAGGTCAAGAGCTAGCTTGGCCTTAGAGGCTGCAAGGATTTCATGAGCCCAGGACAGATGCATGCATTATTGAGAGAGCTGGCCAGAAAACAGGTTCAGAGAGAAAAAAAGACCAGTTTCTTTAAACATTCTGAAGATAAAATGAATATGAACATTCAGAGCTTCCACACCGACACTGACATCTTAGACAAATGCAAATCTTAGAGCAAGAGAAGGGGCTGTGTGTGGCTGGAAACTTCTTTCACCAACAGAGGGAGAGTCTGACAGTGCTGGGGAGCCCAGGCCGTTGTCCCCCTCGCTCCAGACACACAACAGGCACCAAGGCACCAGCCAGGCCCCTCCTCTCACCCTCAGGCCGGCTCTGCTTTTGTGATCCCGAGTCAGCTTTTTCTCTGGTCTTTCTCCCCCTGCCCTGCCATCCCCAGACTTTGTGATGGGGTGCCCCCCTCTCCTTGTGTCATCTATATGCTTCCCAGGGTTCCTAAAATGTTTGAACGATGTGAATATTACCAATGTCAAAAAACAAAATGCTTGATTGCATGCACAATCCAATTACAACTTCATAGCAAAGATGCACAGAGAGAAAAGGACACAGCAAAATGAAACGGTTTTGATGGGTGGTAGGACTGTCAGTCAGATTCTTTTGTTTACTTTTAAGCTTTCCTTGAATAAGGTGAGACTATAGCTATAACATTTAAAGCTTGGTTTTTAAAATAACTAAAAACAAATTTTTTGAGTTGGGGTCTCACTCTGTCAATCAGGCCGGAGTGCAGTGGCACAATCATGGCTCACCACGGCCTCAACCTCCTGGGCTCAGGCAATCCTTACGCCGCAGCCTCCCGAGTAGCAGGCTATAGGCATGCACCACCGTGCCCAGCTAATTTTTTTTTTTAAATTTTTTGTAGGCCGGGCTCAGTGGCTCAGCCTATATTCCCAGCACTTTGGGAGGCCAAGGCGAGTGGACTGCCTGAGCCCACTGGTTTGAAGCCCGAGCAACTTGGCGAGACCTTGTCTCTACAATAAATATAAAGAAATCAGCTGGGCATGGTAGCACTACTAGTAGTTCCCGCTACTTGGAAGGCTGAGACAGAAGGATTGCCAGAGTCCAGCAGGTTGACGCTGAGGTGGCCATGAGCATGCCATTGCACTCCAGCCTGGGCGACAGAGTAAGACTCCAACTCAAAAAAAAAAAAAAATTTTTGTAGAGACAAGGTCTCACCATGTCAACTAGGTTGGTCTCAAACTCCTGGGTTCAAGCAATTCTTTTGCCTTGGCCTCCCAAAGTGCTGGGATTCCAGGTGTGAGCCACCACACCCAGCCATAACAACATTTGTAAAAAGACCAAAATGCTTGGGGAAATAAGAAAGGAACTAGAAGATCTCTCATGCTGACAAACAGCTATATAAATAAGCTGCTTCTTCGGCCAAGTGTTAAACTTCATCGAAAAAGAATTTCTATTTACCAAGGGAAAATATTTATGTTAATAAGAAATACCTGATGCCTATGAGACTATGAACATTCCCGGAGGATGAATTCTAAAGTTAAGGTCGGCAGTGCTCTCGCTGACATGACAGCAAAAGCACAGGCAACAAGAACAAGAATAAACAAGTGGGACTATATCAAACGTGAAAGCTTCTGCAAAGCAAAGGGAACAACCGACAAGAGTGGAAGGCAAGCCACAGAGGGAAGAAAACGCTGCAACCACATCTCTGATAAAAGGGCGAATTGTCAAAACGTGGAAGACACTTCTACAGCCCAACAGCAAGAAAAGTAATAACCCAGTTTTAAAATGGGCTAAGGACTCGAACAGACACTTCTCCAAAGACAGACAAATGGCCAACAGGTATGGGAAAAGTGCTCAACATCACCGATCATCGGGGAAATGCAAATCAAGACCACGGTGAGACATCGCCTCACACCTGTCAGGATGGCTGTCAGCCAAAAGCAAAAGGTCGCGAGTGTAGGTGAGGACGTGGGAGGTTGAACCTCCTGCATGCTGGACTTGGGAAGACAGTGCAGCAGCTAGGGAAATGGTATGGGGGATCCTCAGAGGATCAGAACCAGAGCTCTGCTGCGACCCGGCCGCCCCAGTCAGGGTAACCATCCGAAGAAACTGACATCAGGAGCTCAGAGAGACATCAGCGTGCCCGTGTGCCCTGCGGCACGACTGACGACAGCCAAGATGTGGAAACAGCCTGATGTCCACTGACAGATGAATGGGTGAAGAATGTGCTATGTTCATACAACAGAATACCATGCGGGCTTTGAAAAGAAGGAAATTTGGCAGCACGTGACAACACGGATGAGCACCGAGGACATTACGCTAAGGGAAACAACCGGGCATGCACTTCAGTCAGACGGACGAGTCAGCGTGGAAGTTCTGCTCTCCCACACTGTACACGCGGTCAGCCACAATGTCCTGCACACTCACTGATGTGTTAAGAGGACAGATCTCACATGTCCTTGCTGTAGTTAAATAAAATCATTTTTAAATATGTTCAGGGAGGGCGACCCCCTCGGGTCCCCTCCCACTGTGGGAGCTTTTCTGTCCTCTCAATAAATCTTGCCTTCTCAAAACAAAACAAAACAAGTTTAGGGAGCTCACTCCACCCCATGCCCATAGCAAGTGTGGAGGGACTGAGGAGGTGTCAAAGGGGGACTCCCCCAAGGAGGGTCTGACTAAAGACAGCCTGCTCTTTCTTTCCTAATGCAAGAAGAGGGACGAGGCGGCGAGATGTCAGGCTGAACCGTCAAGGGCAAGTGGAAAAGGCTTGACTGGCTCGGGATGAGAATAATGGAGACTGAGCCTTGCAGTGGCAGCAAGCAGAGGGACTCTTCAGGTGTCACCAGGGACACAGGCAGAGTTCCCAGGAAGACGGTGTTCCCACAGAGCTCTCCTATGGCCCCTGGGAATCCAGGTCCTAGGTGACCCTCCCACTACCTTCAGCAATTAAGCTTTCTCCCTAGCTGCCTCAAGACCCAAAGCTAGCACCCTCACCCCCACTCCCAACCCTCACTCCCAACTAAGAACCATGGTGGTTGTACCAGACAGACATCGATCCCAATGCAGCAAATGACGTGGAGATGGGAGCAGCGGATGGTGCCACTGCTGGGTCTAGGGTGGCTCTGCCATTTCTGAGCAAGGAGTCTCTTGATGCCACCTGGAACCCTGTGTGGTGGCCCCACATCCCGCCTCCAAACCGCGCACCGCAGAGGCCGCCACGTGGAACGGCCTCACCTCTCTCGTGCCACCGTTCCCCTGTGCCACCGTTCCCCTGTGCTCCAAGACCTGCCTCTCACCTCTCGGGGAGCAGCCTCATGCCTGCAGTGCAGAGGATGTAAAGGGGGGTCTCCTTGTGCTTCTTCACGGGCACATGAGCTGCAGCAAAGCTCAGCAGAGGACGAAGGTAATCGCTGGCATGCTCTGGAGTGTCTGCCATTGCAGAGATCCCTTGAAATAAAAGACTTCCTTTAAAAAGCAGATTACACAAGATTCAGAAAACTGGTACCCCAGAAGGCTCTGCTGAAGGTCCTAAACATTTATTTATAGGGGGTGACCATGAGAGAGACCACCCAGACGCCCAGGAAGAAGGGGGGGGGGGCTTCCCTTCTCCTCGCTTCTCTCCTCTTGCGTGCTTGTGACAGACAAAAGGAATGGACACCAAAATGCATGGGCCGAGTACCCGGCTTGATTTTCTTAACCACGGGCTGGCTGTTGCGGTCTCTCATCTGTTTGATGTCCAGCAAGTCATGGGGGTTCCCATTGTGTCTTGGCCAGAAGTAAACAAAAATCCGGGAGCCGCTGCTGCCGCAGTCCACAACCAGGCCGTAGTTCAGGTTCGGATCTTCGGTGTCCGTGGCTTCAAGCTCCCCTACTCGAGCCAAATACCTGAGCCAGGGAAAAGAGAAATCAGTGCTTTGAGGCGGGCCCAGGAAAGACGCTACTTCACTTATTCACAAGCCTTCCTTAGTGCCAGCATGCCCTAAACAAAGGATGGGGAAAACATGACCACAGCTATTGATGTACAGGTCAACTCCAGTCCGCTCACCTGGAGGCCACTGAAGTTAGACCATGAGAAGATGACCCCCACAGGTGGGCGGTTCTGGACCTGGCTGAGGTGATGAACCTTTCACCAAGAATTAAAGAGCTCATAGGTCTGAATCAATAACTGGTCTTTGTTGTTACAAGTAAATGAGCCTCGGGGTGGTTTGTTATACAACTAGATAATGGCGACAGTCCAGGTCATTTCTACCCATTCTTTCTGTATGGAAGCACCCAGAACACTGTAGAATGATTTATCACTTGATGCATGTTTCTGGGTGGTGATATTTTACACTGGCCTTTTTGTTTTTTGCTTTATGCTCGAGGTTTACATTGCTTGAATTACATTAATTAAAAATGTGCTGCATAAAAACAATAATCATTCATTTCCACAGTTTTAAAATATATTTCATAAATATAAAAAGAGTGTTTCTAAACTATGTGTAGGTCATAAAGAGTGATAATAAAGCCAATGCCTGTGTACCCGCCACAGGTTTAACAGATAAAATATGACACTCTTCTTTGCAAATGCCCCTCGGCCCTAGGGCATTAGTATTTCACGTTGTGATTTTTTCCAGGTGCTAAGGTGTCTGGCTGACAGCAGGAAGAGGCTTCCATAAAAGGTGTGAGTCTCAGCTCCGGCACTTTCTAAGCTGTGTGACCTTCAACAGGTCGCTTGACTTCTCTGGACCGTTTCCTCCCGTGATGCTGAGGAGAGTCAAGCGCTTTCTACCCTGGCAGCGAGCGTGTGTGGCAGGCGGTGTGCTGCTCCTCTTGCTGTTGGACACAGAAAAGTTATGGTGGCAGCAAATAAAAGAAGACTCTCCAGAGAAACGGGCTGGAGAGTCCAGGAAAAAAGAAGGCTGAGAGTGGGTCAAAACGCTTCTGAACACTAAGGTGTTAAGTTCAGATTAAAGCTCCCTCAGAACCTGAGGGTTCAAAAAGTGCAAACATCACTGCAAAGGCGTCACTTCATTTTTTTGAGTTGGAGTCTTAACTCCATGGCCCAGGCTGGAGGGCAGTAGCACGCTCACGGTCACCCCAGCGTCGGCCTGGTGGACTCCGGAGATCCTTCTGCTTCAGCCTGCCAAGTAGCTGGAACTACAGGCACCCAAAAACTACAAGACGAGCCCAGGGACAGTGGCTTTTGGGGCATTATCCAAAAAAGCAGGGCTTTTTACTGTTGCTAAGAGTGTATACTGTGGGGTAGACACTGCGATTTTCTCTTCTAAATTCTATTAATTGTGAACAAGTGTTACTGCAGGTGGAGGTAGTAACTGTCTACAAAACTCCCTAAGAGTAAAGCCGCGAAGGCTTTCAGGTATTAAGACGAACTCCCCTCCTCTCAGGGGTCTCCCCACTTGCCCCGCACCAGCAAAGCTGATCCCTACATCCCGAGGCTCTCACACCCTCAGAATTGGGTTTTATGATTCCTAAAGCTAAGACAACTTGGGGGCCCTCTTCTAAAAACGAGGTTCCACATTACAAATACAAGAGGGGCCCATGCAAGTGAGGGCCTGAAGAGGCCGGTATCCTCGGCTGCTCAGTCAGCCCACCTCCCACCCGAACACCATGCACAGGGCCCGCCTCACACCGGTGCAGCCAGTGCATCTTGCAAGTAACGCTGCTTTACAGACCAGAGTTCCTTACTTTGGGCAGAAAACAAAACTTGACGAAAAGAAGAGAATACACAGTTCTGAAATCAAAAAGTGGAGTGCATTTCCAATTCGATCATGCAAAATACACTTTTTAAAACGGATAAAAATGGGCCGGGCGCAGTGGCTCGAATCTGTCATCCCAGCACTTTGGGAGGTCAAAGTGAGGGGATTGCCTGAGCCCATGGGTTCGAGAAGAGCCTGGGCAACTTGGCAAGACCTCATTGCTACAATCAATTTTTAAAAAATGAGCCAGGCGTGGTAGTGTGTGCCTGTGGTTCCGGCTACTTGGAAGGCTGAGGTGGAAGGATTGCTGGAGCCCAGCAGGTCGATGCTGGGGTGGCCATGTGCGTGCCACTGCACTCTAGCCTGGGCGATGGAGTGAGACTCCAACTCAAAAAAATAAAAACTAAAAAAATAAAAAAGATAAAAATGTGCATTTGAGCTTCACTATAACATGGCAAATGATCCTGTAGGGTAGGATGAGTGGAACTCTTTTCTAGATCTGAAATGGGAACGAGTTGAGGGAAATGAAGCAGGTGGTAAAAATCTGTGACGCACAGAAAGTTCACAGCCTTGGAGACTCCGTTTCACCGTGTACCTTCCCATCTAATCAAGTTACTGGGCTCAGAGTCCCCCAGTCAACTCACAACAGCTCACCTCTGGGCTTAGGTTACAGAACTCTGGCAAATACTGACCTCACCAGAGGCCAGAGGTCAAAAAGAAACGGGCAAGAAAACCTGCCCAAGGCGACTTCCCGCTCCTCCTCCCAGCAGCCTCTCACTCCACACGTGTCCCAGAAGCCTCTCTGCTTCCTCCCCTGGAGCCAGCCCTACTTGTCTCTGCAGGATTCCGGCCCATCCCTCCTGCATAACAAATGGCTTCCTCCAGTGCTCTCAGACACTAAAGTCCTCAGACGCTTGGGACTCAGGATCCCTTTAGAATCTTAAAAATCAATGAACCCCAAGAAGCTTTTGTGGACATGGGTTATATGTACTATCTATATTTACTATATTAGAAAATAAAACAAAACAATTTTAATATTCAATATTTCATTTAGATAAAACAATAAATTCATCACATATTAATATATTGCATGAAAATAATTATATTTTCTAAAAAAAAAAGAGTGGCATTGTTTTACAATCTTGCAAATCTCCATAATGTCCAAATTACCAGAAGAGAGCTAGATTCCCATATTTACTTATGTATTCAATCTGTTACAACATGCTGTTTTGGTTGAAGTGTTTTTGTGACAATCGGCCTCACGCAGACACGCTGCTGGAAAAAGGAGAAGCATTTTAACCACCCTTTCAGATCACTGTGAGTATTCTTAGATACGACACTAAAACTTAGATTCGGCAAGCAGTGTTTCTTAAAGACTAGTTGTCACTGGAATCTGAAACTCCATCTAAAGACTTGTCATGCTCCGCTATGCTAAACCCGTTGGTTTACCTTGCCCTTTGAATGGCTTTTTCGAGGCGAGATTGTGTAACATCCTACATTGAGAATACCGGCTCACTGAGATATGCAAATCGTCTTACCACTGGTGCATTTCATTCTGCAATACCAAACCCACGTTCGTTAATATCATCACCAATCTTACCCAGACGTCTTTTAAGTATTGGGAAGATAGCAAATTTACAGTGGCTGACACCATTTTCCAAAACACTAATTTTCACTTGGAGGTTCTCATTTTATCACTGACAAGAAATACTGAAAATTGTTTTCCTTGAAACAGATTTGCTTCATTCATTCTCAAGAAAATGTCTATGAAGTACCCAAGTCTAAAAACTATACCTTTCCTGGAAGTCATTCTTTCAGGCAAAGAAGTGCTCAGTGAGAGAAGTTGCTAGATTTACCTCATCATTTCAACAACTGCCCAAGTGCTTTTACTCGAGACAACATCAGTACATAGCAGAAGTGCTTAATGCCTTCATCACACAGAATATTAAAGGATATTCTTAGATGAAACTGATTTTTTTCTTCATTACAACTGTGCGGCAATTAAGAATACAGTAACCTGCAAGGCGTGGAGTCTCATGCTTGCAATCCCAGCACTTTGGGAGGCTGAGGCAGGAGGATGGCTTATGCCAAGGAATTTGAGACTAGTCTGGGCAACATAACGAGATCTCATCTCTACAAAAAATTTCAGAAGTTAGCTGGGCGTGGCGGTGCATGCCTGTAGTTCCAGCTAGTCAGGTGGCTGATGCAGAAGGATCACTTGACCCCAGGAGTTGGAGGCTGCGGTGAGCTGTGATCATGCCACTGCACTCCAGCCTGGGTGACAGAGTGAGACCCTGCCAACAAATAAGTAGATAGATAAATAAAACAATACAGTAACTGCTTGTGCAATCTGGTGGCTCTGTCCTGATCTGTGTTTTATGCCATTACTTTTGTACATCACAGCAAATATCAACTCAGTGAAAAGACAAATCGCATCACAACAGTCAAGAGGTAAAAGCTTAGCAGTAGTGGGATTCTGTGGGGGGCAGGGGCATACCTCATCAACAAGGGTACCTGCATAATGAACATTTGTATACTTAACCCTGAATTGCACCCCACATCTTTAAAATTAAAAAAAATTTTTTAAAAAAGAGGTAGGAGCAACCCAATGTCCATCAACAGATGAAGGGATAAACATGGTGTATCCATACAATGGAATATGATTCAGCCTTGAAAAGGAAGGAAATCCTGTCACATGCTACAACATGGATGGATCTTGAGGGCATTATGCTAAGAGAAATAAGCCAGATATAAAAAGACAAATACTTTATGATTCTACCTACAGGAGGTATCTAAAGTTGTCAGATTCACAGAAACCGAAAATAGATGTCAGCAGTCTGCTGGGAAGAGAAGGAAAAGGGGACTTGACCCATGGGCATGGATGACATTCTGGAGATCTGTTTCACAACAGGGTAAATACACTTAACGCCACTGACTTAAAAATGATTAAGACGGTAAGTTTTATGCCATGGGTTCTGAACCACAATTTTATTTTATTTTATTTTTTGAGTTGGAGTCTCCCTCTCTCGCTCAGACTGGAGTGCAGTGGCCGCTCCCGGCCACCGCAGCCTCGCCTGCTGGGCTCCGGCGATCCTTCCGCCTCAGCCTTCCAAGGAGCTGGAACTACAGGCGCGTGCTACCACGCCCAGCTAGTTTTTGATTTCTTGTAGAGATGAGGTCTCGCCA